GATTAACGGACACACTATGGATATGATGCTGGAAATAGACTGATTTCAAAATGGAAGTAGACTACTTCATAGTAATTCTTTAGTTTCTTTTAGCACCTAAGGATGACCTAATGGTTAATGAAGTGGTCTCGAGAATCATGAAGTCTCAAGTTCAAATTAGCAAAGATAAAAATATTACTCGTATGTATCCTTCGGGGTGGCCCAGTGGTTTGGGCTTGAGACTTCCATAATTGAGGTCTCAAGTTTGAAACCCCTTACCAGCGAAAGCAAGGGCTGAGTTCGTCGCAATGCTTGCCTAGTGCGGGTTACCTCTCCGATGTGATTTGCGAGCTGTTGCACATAAGCGGAAGTTTTACCCAGTGCGCAGCAAAGGGTAGCCGCTACAGATTTCCTTTGTCATAAAATTTTTTTACTCATATATTCAAGTCTAGACGCCAATAAGCGAGTCTGCATACCAGGATTGTTAAAATAAATTCCTTAGTTTTTTTTTAATGATGTGAAATAGTAACAACTTCTGGGATTAGTCACACATTTACTGGCTCTTACTACTTTATTAGCAGATTCAATCATAAAAATTATAAAGAATTGCATGCTAAACGTTATCATTTTTTTTTTAAAAAAAGTTATTCGCCAATAGTAAATAGCACTAACCGTCCACTTGGCCTCCAAACTCCAAATAATTAAATTGATAAATAAATCTGTGTTGTTTTCAATAATTTTTAATATAATAAAACCTGTCTAAGTTTAAGAATCCCACTCACAGAATAGAAGTAGAAATATGAATAGTAAATACTAAATAGTATTCTATTTGGTAAACGATTGTATTTGCAGTGTCTATTTATAAGTTTCAATAATATTTAAATTTTTGCAGTCAAAGCAAGAATGGTATTTAACAGTCAACTGATTGTGGCTATGGCAAATTTATCTGCAGAATTTTGTCAATATTGCAATGGTAACACAGAAAGATTGAGCAGTGATGATGTTCTTTATCTTCTCTTCTGTTTTCCTTTTCAAGGATTTCGTCGATTTACTCTCTGTGTTCGAACTTTCTTTTGTGTCCCTTTGCCTAATCCTTTGCTTTCTGATTCTGAATTAGATGATCAATATTCAGACTTGTGGCTACCTGAATGAGTCCCAGTCCGAGTCAGGATTTGAAGTCTATCAGTTTTGTAGATTTGTTACTGAATTCATAGCTCGTTTTAGTTACTATGTTTGTATTTAAATACAGAATCTAATCAAAGGTTAGAATATTTTTGTTTTGTATTAAGAAATTCGAATTATTTTGTAGTTTTTTTGTTTTGATATATATCTTAACAACAATTGTTGTTTGTTGTGTTTTGGTTATCGCACTACTTTATTGTTGTTATTGTTGTTTTTTCTAAATGCTATGTACTACTTATACCTATTAGTTTGTTGTGTTTTCTTAACTGCTATATTTCCTTTTTCATTTCGAAAATAATTTGCCGGGTAGTAGGGTAAGTAAAGGTTTGCATACACTATATTCTTCCAAAACGAGTGTACGTCAGACTTTACTATCAATGACACTCGACTCAAGTAACACGTATATAGCATTGTGAAAGGTAGAAAGATTATTTTTGAAAAACCTCGACTCAAGTAATGCACATCAAAGAAGTTTGAAAAAGAAATCGAGCGACATGGAAATTAAAGTACACACAGAAGCACCTATTGTATCAAATAGTACAAACTCATGAGAAATTTGGAATAAGATATATATACGACATGTATAGTGATGATGTGCTTAGATACTAGGATCTACAATTTAGACGTTGTGAATTCTAAGTTGAGATCTAAATTCACCTACACTTGCTATAACTTTTTACATATATATAAGGCTAAATATCGAGTTCTGTTGAACCTGCAAACCTGTTGTTTGATCCACTAACGATTCAAGAAACTGATAAACAGTCTTGAATTTGCTCTAAGGAGCGTAAAAGTAATCCTTCAACGTCTGTGATGTGTTTCTTCATCACAGGAACTGATCCTTTAACTCCACAGATTGCTTCATTCAGTTTTGTTGCAGGCTGCTGAACCACTTGCTTCATTTTCTGCAGTTGAACATGAACAATTTGTTAGATAAGTGAGGTGAAATTCATTCGAAGAGGCATATTAAAATGAACGATGATTGGAGGTTTTTCCAATGACAGTAGTTTTTCATCTATATGTATTGATTTTCGGACTAAAGATGTTCAACTGACCATAGTTCACTATATGTGGCTACGCTACTGAAGGGTGAATACCACCAAGGCTTGTTGGTAAGGTGAGAGCTTCAAGCCCGATTTCTGGTAACACACCCTCAAACATAATCACTGCCTGATGAAGGGGGACGGGGAAAGATACATGCCAAAAATCTTCACCCCCTCTTTCTAAACGGGGTACCTGAGTCACCTCATCGTCTCATTTCCTCTTTGCTCATTTTTGTTAGGCCGAAGTGTTTGCCTTTTCAGGCTTTGCTAACTTATAGCATAACAAAAAGAAGGTAAACGAAGCATATCGCAGAAAGATTTTAACTCTGAGAAGTCCCCTCAGGTTCAAGAAAAATACACTTTTCCCCTCCCCTGATCACTTTATGCACAAGTGGAGTCAGAGAACGGTAGGATGTACACAGACCTTATCCTACTTCTGTGAGGTAGAAAGACATTACAAGTGGAGCTGGGAACGGTGGGATGTACACAGACCTTACCCTACTTCTGTGAGGTAGAAAGACTGTTTCTGATAGGAGTCTTGGGAACGGTAGGATGTACACAGACTAAACTATACATTTGTGAGGTAGAAAGACTGTTTCTAACAGACTCTCGGCTCGATAAAACAATTATGGAAACATAACTTGCAAGAATAACATGACAACATAACTACACAAACCTTGTCATCAGAAAATTGGAATTTAAGCTTCTGATTCTGCTTATGCTGTTTCTGTTTTTGATGATTTCCAATAAAGATACAAATCGTAACAGCAGCAGCTGCAACCCCAAATGAACAAATTGCACCAATTCCAGTCAATCTCCAGTTCCACAGATTAACTCCACCATTATTTTTCTCTTCATTACTATCCCTTTTCTTGATCAAACTCTCATTTTCAACTTCCAAGACTTCAGCTTTAACCTCAAAGGGGAAACTCATTGAATCAATTTGAGACACAGTACTAGTCTTGTTACTAAACTTGGGTGAATCCAACTTCATGTTTTCAAATTCACTTTCCTTCATTTTCTTGAAGAAAACTTGAGACTTTTTATCCTCCTCATCCTGTTGAGATACAATACAATTTAAACTTTCGGATGAGACGATCGCACTATTTAACTCATGAAAGATGACTTACAATGAAAATATAACCATCTTTAAGCTTTTAGATGAGACGATCGCGATCTAAAGTTTGAAACTTTTATATTAGGTGGTAACATGTTTACCTCAAGTGGAACCTTGGTGATAACTTCTTTAATGACTTCTTCATCTTCTTGGGGCTTTTGTATACTTGGTTCTTGTTGAATTAGTAATGGAATTACTACTTGATTTGGCACTTTTTTGGAACTAGAAGTATACTCCATAGACAAAAATTTGTCTCTATCATCATGGAGTACTTCAAGAAGTCCATTATCAGAAAGAAGTTCCCATTCTTGAAGATCCATTTTTTTTTTCTCAATGAATGAAAGCAGGGGAGTTAAAGAGTAGTAGAGGTTAAATAGTTTGAAATTTAGAGGAGTCCTAATTCCTTTTTACCACTCTAGACGTGTACATCTCGACTAATTCCATGGTTATTTATGTTAGAGGGGTTAGAGTTTTGAGAATGGACCAGTGGTCTCTCTTACGTGAACTTGAGCATATTCTATATCATGAGCTAAATTCTGGGGTTGAGTTAGATTCACATGTCATATTTTATAAATTACCAGCTAATTTTTTCCATTAAAATATCGATAAATATGTAAAATTCACCTAATATTTTTATTTCTACTGAAATTTAAACATGAAATCTCATAACTTTCAATTACTTAATTAACCACTAAAACATGAGATCTCATTATTGTCAATCACTTCATCGGCTACGGAGTTTTGATTGTTTTGGGAATTGAAAAGTCAAAAAGAGTGGCTTTGATGGTAATTAATGTGGGATTTTTATTGAATGAAGGCACTCAATATGAAAAATGTCTTCTTGCACCTTGGAGAGTGAATATTTGAAACTTCTTGTTTGGTTATGATGGCGATATAGTAGATAGGTGGAAGCTTATCACTATGTGAAAAATATCAGCCCTACATATGAGGAGGCTAATCTAAACTTTGATATTTATCTCAATTATTAATTGGATTAGTACATAGTCATTTTCATTAGTTCAATATTTAGTTAGGATAAAACTGAAATATAATTTGCATCACTTTATATATATATATATATATATATATATATATATATATATATATATATATATATATATATATATTTATACACTTTGATTTGAAATTCGAATTATTTCTGTGTTAATTTTCAATTATTTCATTAATAGCTGGTTGAGCTATACTCTTGGATGCAACTTTAGATCAAACTCTCTCAACTTCCATGTATTCAAATGTTCAATCAGAATAAACTATAATGTAAATATCTATATAAAATTTATTGACAAATTTAAAAAACTTAAAATATATTTATCTCATTAATTAAATTTTTTTTACGATCACACAACAATGACTATTATGTATGGAATTGGACCATTTAGTTGAATAGTAGAAAACAAAATTCAAAATATAATAAAGCAAAAGATTTAAGTAATGTGTACTTATATTCTAACAACTTTTATTATTATAAAATCGAAGTTATTTATATAGCAGAAAATCTTTTTTTTTAATCGATTTAAATCAGATAAAAGTTATTTATAATTATTTTTAAGTAAATGGGTTGGATTTTCAACAATTTAATTCAGTACCGGGTTGACCCGATTGTTGAAATGGGTCTGGAATAACCCGATTCGTTTGTAGAAGAAGGGGAGCCGCAGTCATATACAATCCCTCTTCGTTTTCATTCTGGAAAAATCCTCTTCTCGAAAAAAATCAGATACAAGAGTTGTCGCCTGAGATTCGCCGGAACTAAATGGAAGTGACATCGGAGAAGAAAGAATTGGATAACAAGAACACGAACAGCACTCAATCCCTAATTATCGATCCCTCAATAGCCGCCGAGGATCGTGAACGCATCGCTGTTGACCTAAAAGCCGGCTTGCATCCTCTCAAGGTTTCATTTTTGTTTTATTTTTCGACTATTTCAGCAAACTTTATTTTATTTTTAGGTTCATCAAGTTCAAACCTAGGTTGTTTGATGCGATTTGCAGCTATTTTGTTATATTTAGTTTTTAGGCTTGGTGGAGTTCAAATTTTTATGCTTTCTACTCATACTTGTTGTTTGTTTGGGGTTTTTATGCAATTTGTGACTATTTCTAGAAAAATGTTTACTATTTTATTTTGCACAATTTATAGGTTAGTTCAAATTTGTATGCTTTTGTTCATAATCATTCCTCTGTTAGGCTGTTGATGCAAGGGAGCTGAATATGTGACTGCTTTATTGAAAGTTCTACTTTTTATTGAACAAATATTATTAAGTTGGTATATTAGTGGAATAGTTGTGGTGTACATAAGTTGGCTCGGACACCATTGTCATGAAAAATATAGTTTGCTTAAGCTACGGAGTAATAAACTGGTTGTAGGACCTCACATTCAGGCAAAAACATCAATTTATCCAGAGACTTGTTTTGAACTAAATACATAACATTGAAACTACTATTAAAGCACTTCCTACTAGAGAAAGGAAATACAACATGTGGACAAATAAGTATGATCTTAGGTGATAAAGATTGGACATAGTGCTTCTGAGAGAATTCTGCATCAAGATCTTACCTTTATACATAATATACTCCAGAAATTTGGGAAATACAGTAGATTCAGGAATTGAAACTAGGCTCATGAGTATGAAGTGACAAATTTTGAGCATCATATTTCCCATACTAGTGATGCTTACTTCCTGAAAGCCCATTGTAGAGTCTCATGATCTTGTAGGATCCTGTATTTAATATGCTTGCATTTCTTCTCTGTTTTACTAGTAGCTACTATTTTTTAACAATCAATACCATATTGGTGGTCAAATGTGTGGCGTGCATGCAATTATCTGCATTTCTTCTTTGGAGATGGCCAAAACAAACATGCTCACTGTGCCAGTCAGGCCAGGAGGATTGTAGAATTGAAGATATATCTAGGAGCATGTGCATATGATGACTACCATATGCTTGTAGCATATTACCATGCTATGTTTTCCCACTATTCATAAAAAAAAATATATGGTAGGGACACAACTTCGTATTTCTATAAGCACAGTATTCCAACCATGTTTACTTTCCATCTTTTGCTTTCTTTTTCGTTTGAGTTGTGCTTCTGGTATTCACTTAGCTTCATTGTCATGATCAGAACAAGTTTGTTTTCTGGTACACTCGCCGGACACCTGGGGTTCGAACACAAACATCATACGAGGACAATATAAAGAAAATTGTTGATTTTAGTACTGTAAGTCAATTTGTTTCTGGTCTTTTGGCTTTATGTGAATTTAACTGCCTCTTTAATCCCTTATGTGTTCTCCATCCATAGGTTGAAGGGTTTTGGGTTTGCTACTGCCACTTGGCTCGCCCATCAGCATTGCCCAGCCCAACTGATTTGCATCTTTTCAGAGAGGGTATTCGTCCTTTATGGGAGGTTAGTTTTGGTGCTCATCCTAACTATTTCTTTTCTGCGTCTTCAATTTTGTTGAAGTCCTTAACTATGTATACCTCTTACCTGAGTTAATTTCTTGATTATATTTGTCTGTGAAGGATGCTGCTAATTGCCATGGTGGGAAGTGGATAATTCGTTTTAAAAAGGCTGTCTCAGGACGTTTTTGGGAGGACCTGGTAAGCCAGCTGCCCTGCGATTTTTGTTTTCTGTCAACTTAACTGGACTTTTTTGGCTAATAAACATTAAGTGCAGAAATAAATTTTTAAGTCAATCTATAGTAGCCACGACAAAATTTAGATTTTGACAATATAAAGCACGAATATCCAAACAGAGGAAATTTCTAACTCCATTTTATGCAAGGGCTGAGATGCCCCTTAGCAAACAATCTCACATAGGTTTCCATAGGTAAGCAGTAGAAGCTGACAAAAGAGGACAGTCTAGTGAAATGGATTCTCTATCTCCAACCATGATGGGGACCTCATCAAGGGGGGAGTTGGAAAAGATGCTGCTTATCAAGTGGGGACTATGTGGGGTTTAAGGAGCAGGGTCTACCACTTAAATGAAAAGAGAAGAAGAAGAAAAGAAAGGGCACTAGAAGCTGAAGTGATTTCTGTGACCAGACTTTTACATCAGTATCCTGTAATCTGTTCTCCTAAAGGATGTGTTGTTACATTGATGTTCTCCTCATTTTTGTCAGTAGCTGAATTTTTCATGCTGCCTTAGATTCCCAATATCTAACCAAAAAGTTGAGTCTGTTTGAAGTATTCTCATCTTGGAGTACATGCATTTGCTTATTGTGAATTTACTCAAATAGATGTTTAGGTAGGATTGATGTTATTGTTTCCACATATATCATGGTCAAAAGATAATTAATCTATCAACTCCTCAATCGTACATCAGTTGGGGTCCGCATTAATTTGGTTTGGTTAGTTTCTCTAGACTAGTTAAGCATTAATTTCGTGAACTCGTATCAAATGATTTGTCAGGCTACCCTCATTAGTCATGATAATGTTTGTTTACCAAGCTTTGCCAGTGGGAGTTAAGATACTTTCTGTATTGCCTTTTGGAAAATGAGAGGATGATATATATTATGCACACATTCATCAATACATCACATCTGAATGTTGTAAATTAAATTGTTCCATCATCCTCAAAAAGGTAAAATTGCTAATCTGGCATCATCCAAATAAGGGCAACGTGACTTCAGATGTAAATTTTCACAATCGTAGGTAACTTTATTCTGTTTGTCCAAGCCTTGGTGGACAGAGTTACCGGGTGCGTTCAAGCTGGTCTGGATATCCCAGTTATTTAAGAAAAAAGAAAGATAGGAACAGAACTGTAGTGGAACACCTAGGCAACACTTGAAGGCCCGGTGTAGTAAACCACTTTTGATGGGCTTTTCCCCTAATAAATGGAGTTAATATCATATGGACCGACAGTCCACGTATCTATAATTGCCTCCTCCTGCTGTGTATGTTTGTGTCCCTGGTTGTTTGGTAATGTTTGTGTTCCTTTATACTTATTAACTGTGACGGATTTCTTGTCTAGGTTCTTGCTTTGGTAGGTGACCAACTCGATTATGGTGACAACATATGTGGTGCTGTTCTAAGCATTCGTTTCAATGAAGACATCTTGAGTGTATGGAATCGTAATGCGTCAGATCAGCAGGTATGCTAATTGTAATCCTTAATACGTCATCCATATTAGTCTAAACAACACGCTCACATCGTCTTGGTTTTGCTAGGCTGTGATGGCATTGAGAGACTCAATCAAGCGACACTTGAAGCTTCCTGGTGGCTATATCATGGAATACAAAGCCCATGATGCTTCCTTGCGTGACAACTCATCTTACCGCAATACTTGGATAAGATCATAAACTCTTATTTCGCTGTCATACTTTGAGAAAAGAGATTTGCATAGTTCGGTCGGTATTTGGTCAAAGAGATTTTCATGGCAAAAATGGTTGATGTTGATCATGTAATATGAGCTAACAATTAGATTTTACCGGCACTCGAAATCTCTTGATTGCCTGTAGTTCTTCTGATGTGTATGCATAACTCTATTGTCAAGTGGATTATCCCCAGTACTGGCTCAAGTATAATTGACAATTGAGTCATTCCCAGTAATATTAGTTACCATCACCTTTAAAGTAGCAGTATTAGCTGCATACTGCTAGTAATGATTCATATGTTGATGGACACTGACGAAAACCGACATCGAAACTGCTTTCTGTGATCTAGTTTCCAGATTTAGCAGTTGCTTTTCTTCAAAACATTTGATGATAAGTTCAAAACCATCTTATATGCCATTTATGAATTTGAATTGAACAAAGAAAACCCTACAAAGATCTAGTATGTTATTTCTTATTGATATCAGGTTACATCATTATAACAATTGCTGTAATGCAATGAAATTATAGTCCTGTTTCAATCAAAACCACAAGGAAACTATAAAAATAAATTTGGAAAAAAGAGTATATAACATCGCTTTTGTATCAAAAGATCTTTAAAATCCTTTAAAACGTGAGTTTAGTTATCATTTTCTCTATATTTAAAGAAAAAGGAAGTGTGCACGGGTCATTTACTATTTTTATGGGATAATATATCCGATATATGATTGGTTGATAACGATTCTCATCATCTATAAATATCGAGGCTTACTAGGTGAAATTCGACTATACTTTGAATAATTCATTTCATTGTGTAAAATAAATTAAATATCAGAAACAGTATCAACAAATCAGAGTGGCGCAGCGGAAGCGTGGTGGGCCCATAACCCACAGGTCCCAGGATCGAAACCTGGCTCTGATATTATCGTTTTTTTTTAATCTTATAATTTGGACCATGATAATAATCAAGAGAAAAAATGTATTATTATTATAGCATATTTTACTAGAGGTAATAGTAAAATAAATACACCTTAAAAAATATTACCAATAATAAGAAAAGGGATGATGATGTACAATTTGCATGTAATCTTGAACACCATTCACTGCATAAAGTGATGCTGATATCTGTCTTTCCACTTTCATTACCTCAAATTCTGTTAAAGGAATATCTAACAATTCTTCCAAATCCCATGATAATAATGATGATGTGCTTATTATGTCTAAATCAGCCTTAAAATCATCAAAAACTCTACTTTCTTGATCCTGTGGGATTACACCGAGTATGTTGTTGTAACAAGTTTCGTAAAGATTGCATCTTTTTGAATTTTCAATAGAAATTGGATCATCACAATTGTTGATGTTGTTACTGTTGAAAATTGGTTGATTTTCTCGATCACAAGAAAGTACTGTATCTCTATTATTGGAAACAATCTCTCTGCCTCCCAACATAGGGGTAGTATCTGTGTACGCACTATCCTCCCCAGACCCCACTTGTGGGATTATACTGTTGTCGTAAGAAAGGAGTGTTTCATAAGTATAGCTATTTTTTGCATTTTCACTTGACATTGGATCAGAAAAGTTGCTGGTGTTTAAACTAGTCACACTAGTAGTGTTACTTTGAACAGAGTTGCTGTCGAAAAATTGACTTTCGTGATCATGAGAAAGTAATTTTTCATAAAGATTGCTCTTTTCTGCATTTTCACTTGAAATTGGATTAGTACTACTACTACTTGTGGAATCAGGTAAGCAGTCCAGGCTTTTCTCATTCGCGGTTTTCTTGATGTTGAGAAGATTTCTAATGCGTGAAGCAAGAGGAGAATCATGAGAAACACGAGTTGTAAGAAAGTTTGTTCGTGTGTTTGATCCACGAAGAAGAACAGCAGCTTGATCGTAAGCACGAGCAGCTTCTTCAGCAGTTTCATAAGTTCCAAGCCACATTCTTATCTTTTGTGTTGTGTCTTTAATCTCAGCTATCCATTTTCCTGATGGCCTTTGTCTTACACCAACAAAACTATTAGGCCCTTTGCTTCGTTTTCGCCCTTTGAATTTTGTTGAAATTGCTTCTTTTTGTTGATGTTTTTGGAAGTTAATTTCCATTTGTGAGAACAAGAAGCAGAACAATGTAATTGTTTACATGTCTTTGTTCTTATCGTTTGCTTCTTTATATATAAGTTGTGAGATATGTATCTATGATGTTTAAAAGTTTGCTTATGTCTTAGGTAATGTTGTTTTGTTGTGTTTGTTTTGTAGTAGATGATATATTCTGATTCTCTCTTCCTTTTTATGTTCAAATGGAAAAAAGATGACTCATTCTTTTTCTATGTTGTAGACTTTTTCCTTCTAAAATTCTATACTCCGCCTTCGTTTCGATTTACGTGACGTAGTTTGACTTGATACGAAGTTTAGGAAAAAAAAGATGTTTGAAACTTGTGATCTAAACATGTCAGTGTGAGCATGACTATAAATCTTCTCATTAAGTTATTCTTTTTTTAACTGAATAAAAGAAAAGTGTGTCACGTAAATTGAGACGGAGACGTATTTAGTTTTGTGATTGTTTTTCTCCAAGACTTTTTGACTTTGTAATACTTGACAATGTTCTTTACTGTTTCCATGTGGTTGGTTTGACTTTTCATCCAAAAGTTTTGAGTCAATTTCTTGTTTACATGAATACATTCTTAAAAACATTGAAAATTTCTTAGTCTATAGTAGATTTTGTTAGCTAATGTTTTTTTTTTAAAATCGGTCTTAGGTTTGAAATCTTCCGCATATTTTTTTAATTAAGCTCATTCGTAGGGTTTGTAGATTTTCACGTGTGATTTTTTAATTTTATTTTATGCGTATTCAAAGTGTTGAGAGTTTTTTGTTATGGAAAAGAATAAAAATTGATGAGTTTTATGATTTATGATAAATATTCGTTTATTTACATGATTCTTTTTATAAGAAATTGATAAAATATAATACGAGATCGTTATAAAATTATTTTCTTTTATTCGAATGGTAAAATCCATCACCAATGAGTCCTTCATTTGTTACATTCAAAGATGCCATTTTGATCCTTTTGCCACAAAACGCCAAATTTGAACTTTTGCTGGAATTATAATATATTACAATTTCAAATTCTAATGATTAAAAGTGGAATATTCTCATAGGATTATTCGTAAATCTTGTTTAGCTTAATTATTAAAGGAAAATATAATTTATAACATAAGATAAAACATCGTTTTCAAGTGTTGTCATCCATAGATTTCAAATTTGTTTAGCCTAATAATGCCAAATTTTCACTTTTGCTGAGCAATTAATTTCTATTACTACTATAATTTTTTAAAAATTAAAGATTTTAGGCAATTAGTTATATAATGGACTAACCGCTTTCTAATAAATTACGATTATCAGTATTTAAATATGTAATTTAATAATCAATGAGATAGGTCAAAAATCATGAAATTGGAAATCAAAATCTTTTTGGAATAAAAAATATTAGGTAATTTCTTCATTTTCTTCATGTTTATCTAAAATATGACAGACTGATTTATTCATACATGTGCTCGTGAAAGACAACAACATAACAGATACCTTGTAAAATTAATTGAGATGCACACAATCAAATTAAATATCAATAACTTGATTAAGAGATTAAAGAAAGTTTCAAAATTAAGTGGAGTTATAGATTTTATTTGTGGTGTGGGTTGGAAGGGGGTCGGATTAGAATTAACTAATTATTTGTTAACTAACAAATAATTAAGAGATAATGATGGAACTAAATTAATTAGACAATATAATCAAAGCTCTTGTTTCATCACCCAAAAAAAAATTCTCTTTTTTGTTACATTCAAAGATTCCATCAATCCTTTTACCAAAAAACTCCAAATTTGCACTTTTGCAAAATCATTAAAATGATTATATTATAAAAAATTTTTAAAAAAAAGATAATATTAATTATAACATAAGATTAAACATCTTTTTCAAATGCTGTCATACCTTAGACTTAATAATTTTTTAATTTTGTTGAACCATAATTGTACATAATGGAAATATGCTCCTTTGGTATTGCACTTTTGATCCTTCGATTATTGATAAATTTTAATTTCGATCCATCAAGTAATTGCTTAAGCATATATAACATTCATTAACTAAAACATGTATTTTTGGTCCCTTTTTTTTTATAGAGAATATATGATTTTTAGATTATATTGTACCAACAATATCCTCAAAAATAGAATAGCAATACAACTTTTCTCAAGGATAAATGATTCTTTTTTGCTTGTACATATTAGAAGTAACTGTTGATAAAACGTGTGATCATTTCATCTAAAAGTTTAACCCGTTAAAAAGAGTGTACTTTTATCATTTAATTAGACTCTCAACAAGCCCACTCACATGAGGTCTGCTCTCATACCATGATGAAGTGTGCGATCATCCCATAAAAACTTTAAGTTGTTAGAGAAAACACAATTTTATTCTCAACACGTCCCCTGACGTGAGGTCTGCTCTGATACCATGATGAAGTATGTGATGAATGATAATCTCATCTAAAAGTTTAAACTGTTTGAGAGAATACACTTTTATAAGGGATGAAGGAAGGAACGCGCAAAGTACGTCGTGCACTTGTCGTGTGACCTGCTGGTCCTAAGCAATGTCTTGCGCGAAACGATCATTTAACTGTATTCTCAACAACTCACTCACTCTACAGTCAAGTGCCTTTCAGCTTCAGGAAAACATTTGCTCCGGGTTGCTAAACACTAGCTTCACTGCATCACAATGTTTGCAATTTCCCACACTTGTGCACATAAACAGTATTTGGATCAAGAATTCATAAAACTGAAACTAAACAACAAATAGATGAACAATTCTCACTGATAAAGACCTTTAACAGACTTCATTTGATCTTTTTTTTCTATGTATATAATATCTACAAAAGAATGAATGTGTCCTGATTTACAAATCTATGGGAGTTTGTCAACAACGATCAAGAATAAAAGATGATGATAAAATCTTTGTGAACAAAAATTGCAAGAATCATTTACTTTATCCTAACTACTAACCACAATACTTTTGCATTTCTTCTACTAGTGGAGTTGATTGAAAGAATACCGATGATTCAGAACCAGTACGTCTTCTTCCTTCAGTTGTTTCGATAGAAAAGATGCTAGGAGGTCTAGCATATTTTGGTGGAGTTTGAAATGTAGTAGTTCTTGGAGACAAACACACGTCCTCCATAACACGAAATTGGAGTTCAGCTGGATAGTCCCTCATACATCCGATTCGAGGTCCAGCTCCTGTTGTCCATCTACAAGATAATTGATGAGCTAACTGGAATGACTTTGTTCTTCTATGTGTATCTATTCTCTTCATTATCTTTTCTGGAGGGATAGTATCTTCGTAGTCTTCTTCATCTTCATCGTCGAATAAATTCAGCTTTGAAACTGATAGTTCTGTATCTGATAAATACTCTTCTGCTGTTTCATATCCATCTACTGGAGTATCCAAAGGCTGTGTGTTGTCTGTTGATCCAGCCTTAGTGAATAACTCGAACGTGTCTTCTCTTGGTGGTATTTCAACTACCATTTTGGGTTTTGATACTTGGGATGGTCTTGACAACGGAATTGGATTTTCTGTATCCTTGCAATATTTTGTAGTAGGATTTGTCTTCTCCCGGTCTGAGCATTTGGCGTTGCTCTCTTCAGTGGCTTGGCTAAAATCTGGTGCGGATAAGCTGTTACGAAGGCCTAAACCACCTTCCTTCCTACAAAAGTTTGATTCCTCCCCGTCACACGGGAATTTCTGCATAACAAGGAGTAGAGTTAACAAGTTAAGCCATGACTATTAATTGATAGCTGTTGCAATAAGTGTTACAACCGAGTTGTTATTTTACATGAAGACTTTCCTAACTAGCCGAGTGTGTCTTTGTTTATACCTAAGTTTTGATCATTCAAGAGAAACACAGTATCCTGTATGGGGGGACGGGAAGTAGAGAAATGACGTATCCTACCTGAATAATAGTGACATCAATGTTGTGTTGTTCAAGAAATGTCATAAATTCTTCGAAATTCTCCTTCGTTGGAAGATAATGTCCACTGTGTGGCCAGACAGCCTAGATTATGCAAGAAGGTTTCGAGTCATTAAAACGAAACTTAAGAAAAAAAACTGCTGCAGGTTCGGAAGAATTATGACGTTTTACTAGATATATACCTTTAGAGTACCGTCTTCTATCACTAATCTGCCTGCAGATAATGTAGCTCCACCAGCTAAGAAACTTGAATGCTGAAATGTGCCTTTTTGCTTCATCCCAATGTATAAGTCCTTCGATACGCTTAGCACAAAGATCCACTTGGCTTCTTCCGGTCCTCCCCTCGTATCAAGAACCCTCCCGCTCTGCTTGTAGATGAATTTTCCATCCACAATTACAACTTCATATGCCTCCCTCTCTACCTGAAATCATACATAAACTGGTGAGTTGCATTATACATGTATTCTTGACTTCTCGTCTTAACTCATGCAGCTAAAGAATCTCCTTAGAAATGCAAGTATCGTTACCTATATCGAACAATTTACTCTCAGAAATGAACCAAAAAAAGCATTTATCGAACTACACGAGTATCTAATATCCATTATGCACAACTTATGTTTTTGGTTACAATTCTCAAAAATGGATCTAAAATCCATTTGCAGATCCTTGCATACATATCATAAACGGATAAACAACTGTCGATTTGAACACCACCTAACCTTTGTGCCTGACAGAAAGAAGACAAAACTCACCGGACCGAGATACTTAATGCATTGTTGATGAAGTTTTGATCTAGGGCACTTCTCAAGATTCACTTCTTTACCTTCACCTATGTCCAACCTGCAATATTCGAGAGAAACACGTCTAGTTTAGTGACGTTGAAACTGAAATGAAAGTTGTTTGTTTGAATTACTTGTTGATCCAACAAAATCTCACCAATAGAAGAAGGGTTGTCTACTGTCAACTTGGAGCCACTTGGTGTAATAGAAATGAAGATTATGACCATAACGATGTCGAGGATCGATCTGTTTCGCAGTCAAGAAAGTAAACCAATGAAAATCTCACAAAAATGAGGATTCATGACATTTTA